GAAAGTTCTATTTTTTAGTTTCAAGCACATGCAATATTAATGCAACAGCAATGCAAATTTCTTCTTTTACCCCTTACACAATTTAAGAAATTAACTACTCTTAAAACCAACAAGAAAACGGCTACAAAAACTTCAAAACATTAGAAGAAAAAGAGAACGCAAGAATGTCCTTTTGTAATAAGCAAGTAAAAATTTGTTTTGGACAAAATTCCGTTCAAACAAACAAGCAAATATTAAATATAGGTAAAAAGAAAGTTCTTGATGTTTTAAACTAAAAATACAAATCATTATCAAAATATTTTCAAACGGATCGAGAATGTTATATTTTGATTAATTAAATAGTAGAAAAGGTTTGATTTATTACAGGGTGATATCTTGTGCGTTTATAAACGCATTTTTTTTCTGAGTGTACAATAGGTTGGTTCGATTATTCGGTGACATTTTACAATTTAGGCATATTTTGAATCTATTTTAAATTATTTTTATGGTTTAATTTTTTTTTTTTTGATCCTTATAACAATTTTGTAGTTTTTCACTCAATTTTTTCTTAATGTAACTGACGTTATAGTGCTATCAAAGATTTGTTTGTATTTGTTTAAAAGCTAAACAAGTTATTTGTACTAAAGATTAGTGAGGAACTAGTGATTTTAATTGGGTGCCATCGAAGCCATGGACTGCCATGTGAGTAATATCATGTACATCAGCATGGTTTCACGAAGAAGAGATCCACCACAACTAACCTTGTCTATACTCAGAATGTCTCAGATTGAACCCTGATTATCTATAACTGGAGGTGATTTATACTTGTAGTAGAGCTCGTTGATAGAGACTCAAGCTTAATTTTTTTCAGTATTTCTAAGTAAACTATTGTAGCTACCTTGTTCTGCTGTTTTAGATATTTATTTCTCGCCATATTTTCACAGCGATATTATATATGTTCTACGGTTTCACGATTTTTGCTGCACTTTCTGCATCTATCAATTGCTATTTCTTCCTAAAGGATATATTTTTGATAGTTTCTTGTTTTAATAATCTAATATTGTATACCAATCATAAACCATTTTCTGGAAAAAGAGTCCCAGTCTGTAGCTATTCCATGGATTTACTTTGATCTACTGTAAATTTCTGCAAGTTTCTGTCATCGTCAGTTTTTGTATCAAATGGCCTAAAATTTTCCACTCTCAAGTTTAGAGGTGTATATCCTATATCCGCTCTCACTATAGCTTGATGAAGTCCACTTTTTAGGTGATGAAAAAAAATTCTTAAGCCTATAATTAGTTGACTGCAGGCTTCCACAGCATTTTTTATTCCTCTACCTCCTTTTTCTTTTGGTAGATTTATTCCTTGGGTAGTGTTTTCTGTATTTTGTAAATTCTGTTCTTATCTTACTGTTTATTGTTTCGATATCTACTTGTATCCATTTAACTATTCCAAAGGAGCATTGAAGAACAGATATCGCATAGCTTTGGAAAGATTTCTTGAATTAAGTTTTTTTGTAAAAGATGGTAAAGACGTTATTCAAACTCTTTGATCAATGTGACTGTTACTTCTTTATGTTCTACTTTGTACTACTAAGTACTTGTATGGTTGACAGGTCGATGTTGTACACTCAGAAAACGTTTGACCAAACTCATCACCAAAAATTACTACGTAAGTTGAATATTACACTTTCTAATTATTTATTGATTTTAATACAATCGTATCTCAACATGCAACTCTGTTGAAGATACACGTTGTAACCGAACACAATGATTGCAAGGAATTTCCAAACACTCGGCTTATGGTAAACGAGCGAAATAATAGTCCCATATTGTTGGACTACACGCTCAGCGGTGTGCCCTTGAAGAGGTGTGACACGTTTAGACACTAATTTTACTTTTTTGGGGACGTATCAAGAATAACGCCAAGCGCATCCAAATTATCGGGCAACTATGTTAGAAACTGACCAACATCTCTACCCCTAAACTTGTTTACACAACTTTTGTAAGGAGTATACTGGAATATTCTTATCCAAGATTCATTTATAATCTGGTCGCCGATTTACGAAAATATTATTGCCAGTTTGCTGCTAGATATTATCTTCAAAAATTTGTGGCCACTCTACATAAACTCGTCAATAATTCTATACACTCTTCGTTCTTGCTGGAGGCAATCCATTTTTTAATTCTGCGCTAAAATTCCCTCCGTGCTGACCTTTTTTAATCATTTTAAGGGTAGGACCAATGTGATGGTCAGATCACCAATCAGATCACCAATTTGTCAAATCCATCTAAACCGTATTGCTGCCTTCCATTGATATAATTAGTACTCTGTTCTTTTTTTTGTTTTATTGTAAGTATTTTCTGTAATTGTAAAGGATTTTATTATGATGTTACCTACCTGGGATACACTTTTTGTGCATGTCCTATAATAATGTTATAAATCAATTTCGGAAACTGTTCGAGAATTCGAAGTGCTGAATATATCTAGTATTCATCCTCTAGCGTTTTTGGAATTTTTATAGAACTTGAAATAGAAATTTTTATTAACTAAACCTTAATTACTAAGTGAATTCATAGGAATTGGAAGTATTGATATCCAAAATCGGAAATTTAGAGGCATTGCTAGGAATTAGTGCACGGATTTTTGATCGTGATTTACTTCTCGGGGTTGTATTTTGTGGTCTTTACTTCTGTCTTCTTCAGTATGTCCATAAGTCTTTCGAATGGCAGCTTTTCCTGAAACTTAAAATGACATCTCTATTAAAACTTGCATTCCAAAGAGTGCTTATCGTATATCGATTCTAGATTTGAAACCAGACAGATCGTGCGTATTGCTCCTTTAATCGTTTCTATTACGAAAAAGTCGATTTAAAATATACACAACTCTCCCAATAAATGTCGTCGACAAAACAAAACGGCCCACATCTAAATAAACATAAAACCGCCAGTAAAAAGCGTACGCAGTCTGGTTACTTTGTTACACAAGCCTCTAGGAATGAAAAATTTAGTCCAAATCTTTCACCAATTCCGCCGTTAATTTTTTATATTCCGCGGAATCAGAGGCGTGCGAGCGGCAGTCGCCCGGATGCAGGTCTGTCGATTTCGACGGCCGTTCGGGCGAGGATAGGACGGCGAGCCCGTGACCCCGGACGGGACGTTTCATCGGCACCTCCTAAAATATTTTAATGCGCCCATAAACTCGATAATTTATCGCTAGGATTGTTTACGATAAAAGTCAGCTTTATTTACAGCTAATTTTTTTACGCGATATTCCTAAACGTTCGGTTGCGTATTTTTGTTGGAAATTGGCTAACGCCGGCAAAGAATTATCGATCCGGATTCCAACGGGATGAGGAGGCGAACTAGACTGCTCAAGGTTTATCATGGACAAGGTTTAATCTTTAATAAGTAGAGGATTCATCAAACAAGGAGCATTAAAGATACAGGTTATTGTTAACAGTGAATTATTGAATGAAATAAAATAACGTGGTGATTTGCAGTCTCGCCAGATGAACAATAACGAACAAGATATGATAAGAAGGAAAATACATCCCGTTTATCAAAACCAGATTGTTGCTACTTGGTGTAGGAAGCTAAAAGAAGATGAAACCCATATAATTGTTATTCCTGCCACCCTCCATACAGTTATTTGCAGAATGGAACGAAATCGCATAGACTGGCACACGAAAACAGATGTATAGTTTATTTAGATGAAACTTGGTTCGCTACAGACAGATAAGTATCGCTCTGTGCTACAATGGTCAGGTGTTTTTTGGACGATATACTTTTAGACAGACAGGTTTCTGCAGGACCACAGAATAGTAGTATAGCGTTGTCGGTTCTAAGCCACTTTCGACGGGAAATTTTCAATTTTCATGCAATTGGTTCACTTTGAAGTTAAAAAACATGCGTAGTTAAATTTCAAATATCAGTTGGTCCACCCTAACCACCCGAAGTCACAACGCAAGCGTATGAAGCATACATTTCTAAATTTAGTGTGTAGTGTTATATCTGGTACCTTTGATTTCGTACTATAATTATTTTAATATTACAATTACAAATTTAAATAACATTTATTAATAGCTACTCTGTAAACCATAGCTCTTTTCAAACCAACGAAAAAGTCAAAGTTTGTAAAGTATTGTCGGCTCTTTTTTTTAGCACTTTGTTAAGTAATTTGTTTGTAAAAAATATTGCGTTTGATAATATGAAATTGCCTTTATAACATACAACATACTAAATTTTATCATTTCCTTGAATTCTTATGCTGCTTCTTTTATAACAAAAGAGTTACATCTAATTCCGATGGAGAAACCAGCTCCCGAAATAAATATTTACTAATAAAAATATATTCCTCCATATTTCCCAGTATTACTACAAAATTTGGCCCTATTTCCCTATATTTCCATGTATTTCACTTATATTTCTCCTTATTTCCTCGAATTGCCTTATATAAAGCTTTTTATTAATTGTAATGCTTCATATAAAATATGTATATGGCTACACCAATTGATTTTAAAAAATATTTGTTTTTAACTATTTTTCTTTCGATAATATTTAAATGATTTACAAAAAAATAATATATACACATACTATAAATTTAGTGGTGCAAATTTTAATATATATGTGGTAAACAGAACCTTATCTTTCATTATTTGGAGCTGTTTCAATTTTGTAGACGCATGTTAACACCCAGGATAGTAGAATTTACGGGAAAAAGTTGACCGTTTTATTGTATTAAATGTTATTATATTCAATTTATTGAAGTTGTTGCTCATACTGCTATGGTATAGAAAAAAAGGTATAACCATTATTGGACTGTTAAATTTCGGCTCGGTAGAACAAAATTTTCCCATCTTGATATTTCCCTCGTATTTCTCTTGAGAAGGCAAGCATTTCCTAAGTGGTTTTCCCCTCGTGTTCCCATTAGCCCTCCATATGATCTGATAAAGAAGATATTGCCTAAAATTTTCAAATAGATAATCAAGCGTGCGTGTGTCATTTCTGCATTTGTTTTAGGGAGGTGCGAACCGGCCGCAGGTATGCTGATCGCCTGCGCGGGCTGTGACAAGCCGATCATGGATAAATTCCTGCTGAACGTCCTAGACAGGACTTGGCACGCAGATTGCGTCAGGTGTTTCGACTGTCACACGCCTCTCACAGACAAATGCTTCTCCAGGGAGGGCAAGCTCTTCTGCAGATCGGATTTCTTCAGGTACAGTACAGTATATATGGCGTCGCTCGGGTCAGATATGTCTCCGACGTATATTTTCATATACATGTATCCCCATTGTACCTAACTTATATAGAGGTATATGTAGACATAGAAGATGTACATGTACTATAATGGAAGTGTATATCAGGCTTATGGAGTACTTCAAATGTTAAAATGTTCAATCTGCCTGCCCCGGGAAACACAATACCTACTCAGGTAAGACGTCGCGTCTTACCGTCTTCATTCTAAGCTGTTATTTTAGATTGTGATTACACAGAACTTTTCTCATCCCGTATTCTGGGCCCGTCTCCTTTGCAAGTATTCATATATTTGCTTTTATGAATGTTCAATTCTAGGCCTAATTGTTCACTCTTTATTAAGTCTTGAATATTGTCACTACTTTAGATAAAACCAAGATTCACACGAAATCTACAGTATCATTTGTCAAAATATATTAGCGAACTAAAACAACAGGTGACAAGTTTCTCTGAAATAAAAATGTCAAATACAGACCTCCATATAGAAAAAAAAGGGGGCAATTAACAAAAAATTACTTACCGATAACAACATTAACTAATTAATGTTAATTATCCCACTGATAGCAAATCGTCTGCCTAAGTTAGTGTTCTTTGATCTTTTACAAAAATTTCCTTCCGGATTGAACTACATACATAGCTGAGCATTGATCTTAACCTTCCAAGGAGTTAAAATTCGAGTAAAGTTCCGAAATAGGAGATTGGAACCAGACAGCAGTTCTGAAAATTGATTGATACAATAACGTTTAGAGTAGATGATGGCCAGTGGCCATGGTTATTTCACATTTCGGATTGGCAATGAACTTAAATGAAACTAAATTAAAGTATAGAACGAGTAAAACAGTGCTATTATTAGGAGACGGTAATAAATGCAACGCAAGAAATACGGTGTCGTATTGAAAAGGCAGGATCAGTGTTTCTCAATGTAACTGTTTTGAACCCATAATAATTTTGTTATGTCCGCTCAGTCCTCCTGAATTAAGTAAAAGCACTAACCAAAGAAACTACCAGAAGATCGGAAACATGTAAACTCAGTCACTTAGTAATCAAGAAATGTTACGAAGAATGAATTGATAATTGATAGATAGCATAAAATTTCGGATATTCCAGTGCCACGATCATGATGAGCAATTCATATCGAGCCGACGGAGAACGTCATGGTTGGCAAATCTAAGTACGTGATTCTGGAACAAATAGAATAGGAATAGCCATTTTGATAGCCAACGTCCGAAACAGATAGGCACTTAGAGAAGAAGAAGAAGATTGACCTGTAAATTCTAGATGGAGTTTCTGAAGAGAAGGCACTAAAGGACAATTTTAATTTTATATATATATGATATAATATATATAGCAATATATATGATTCATCATTAAAAGCATCTCTAGATGGAGATTCACAGACAAATATGTCAGTATTGACATATCAGAGCATACATATTCCATGTTATTCCATGCTATTCCATTGCTATCTTCACCAAGGGTTTCTTTCGAAATCTCTTCAGAGGAGGACAATGGTGGGGACCAGAGGCGGTTTTTTCTTAATCCTCCTTTTTTAACATTTCTACCATCTTTTTCCGTTCTTTCTTGTGGACACTGGAATTGTCCACGTAAAGCCGCCTCATCACCTTTTTTAGGAAAAAAAACTTAAGAGCTAATGTACGCTGACCATAAACCATATTAACACGTTATTTCCCACACCGACTCCTAATGGCGGGCCATTTAAATATTCGAATATCGAATTTCGGCGATAAATTACAAAGTTTATCTCGCGAGGTGGTCCCTCCAAATCCCTATTTACGGTAGCTCAAAACCACACACAACAAGCGGCATGTTGCGCTTATCTCGGAAGCCCGGCCAAAACGAATCTGTCGTAAACATGTTAGACGTGTCGAAAAAAAAAAGAGTTTTTTCCGTATTTAATTGAGTCGTTTGTTTATCGGAATAATAGCCTAACGGTTGATTTAACGCTGAATACTAATTTATTTATTACATTCGATTCGTCGGACTATATATACACAAAAACACTACTGTAGAATCGAAACGTCCATTGAGTCAATGATGCTCAATAATATGTTCACTGAAATTATTATTATTTGATTTAATTCAAACCTTATCTGTTTTAAAACAATAATAAATGTAATTGATTTGATAGAATGCGTTCATCATACTTTACACATTCATTCATACAAGCTGGCATATATCATTATAATTAGCAGAAAATCTTAATAATGTGAATTCAAAACGTTTAAATTATCGATGAATGAGGAATGTAATACACGTACATTAAATATATCATCAACCAACCAGTAACGAACACATCGGATACATGTTAAGAGATATGTGGTTGTAAAGAACAATTACAAGATTAATTAAATTAATTGATTATGAATTCTTGTTAAACACTGTTGGTTCCTTCAGAATATAGACTAAACTAATACAGGCATATCATCTTTGTTATATTGATTATCGTAATCTATGAGACTAATTGATGCCTATAATTTATAGTTAAGACTGGAAATCCCGTCTCTATATTTTTCAGCTTTAAGTAGCTGTTCTTAAATGCGAGAATAGATTTGTTTTATTTTGAATAAATATCCCTAACTGAAAGAATTTATTTTTAAACTTAAACAAGTTATCGGTTTTCTACATTTCAAGGTCTAGATGCTGATGGTAATAAATTCAATATTTTACATCAAAGTTTTAACTCAAATAAAATAAATTTTCTATTCTAAACAAATATATATCTTTCTATTAAGAACACTTTTCGAAGACTACTCATTCATTCATTTATGCAAACATATACATACAGGTTGTTACTGAATTGATATCGTATAATGTAATGAAAGAAATGAAAATGCGTTTGTCTACTAACACTCAAAAGAAAAGTCATTGCTAATCAGAAAATAATGATCAAATAACGGATGATTCACCAACACGCTTATTTCTTGTGTCTAATGGCGGATAATCTCTGTTTTGATTGGATCTTTAAAACATAGATGGCGCTTCAATTATCATCCCGAAAAATAATAAAATTAAAATGTACTTTATCAACGATAGTTTTAAAGCTATATTGCGTGTATTAATGCCCTCCTTTAATTAATTTATAATATATAATTAGTTATACTATCACAGTTTGTAAGAGTGTTTATGATTTGGGGTTCGATATTTGGTAAAATCTGTAGCTATCAAACATTTTTGCTCTCTTCATCCTAGTTCATTGAAATCGCGTAACCAAAACATAACCCGAATGGTAACGACACACATAAAACAGCCATAAGTAATTTATGAATACTTTTAATTTATTCTCTTCCTATAGCGTTTTCTATTTGATACATGAAAACGCCATATTTTTGCTTATAAAAAAACATCCGATTTGTGTCAATGTGCAATTTATATAGCCGCTTTTTTTGGTATTAAGAAACTGACCTATTAAAATTCAGAAACTTATGAAGCAACTAGGAAAAAATTTTTTGAGAAAGTCTATTCAACATGCGCATGCGCTAGATTCAAAGTCTCGCTTATGACTTTGCGACATTCAACGACCGACGTGGCCGCTGGCAGATCGTCAATAAGATTAAGAGATTCAACCATAAACTAAGTTTATTATTGGATTAGATGCCGTAACAATAATATATGATCAATATTTCATTTATTCACAAAAATAAAACAAGTGAAATGGCGGAATTTGCGAATTTAAGCTTCTTTTATGGTGTTTGTTCCCCAATTCATAAATTCTGCCAGAATTTCTTCTGGATGAAAGTATCGAAGTTTATATTTTCGTCCATTACTTATCATTGCATAAATGGGGAATCCAGAGTTTTTAACTAAAACCCTAACTTATCTTCCATTTTTATGTTTTTATTAATATTTCTACTAAATCATTAAGATGAAATAGAAATTAAAATTGAAAAATAATACATTTATATTTTTTTTACCTTTACGATGCATATAAAGTATTTCAATCTGGACTCATTTCACTGTGACACGTGCTTTTTACTTGTGTCTCCAAGGAATTCTTTGTTTAAAAAGCAAGAATATTTCGCTTTTTTAGCGTCAACAGCTTTTTCACCGTGTCGAGAGCCACTTCCGGCGTTTTTGAGTCACAAATTTAGAAATGATCGGAGGTTTTTAAATAGTTTACATTTACATTTTTTGTCAATTTTGCTGGTCTCGTACGACAATTCGGTATTATTCTCAGAGATTTCCGCTTTATTTGTTATACGGTTACCAAGTATTTTCCAATATTTTTCGGAATTTTCCAAGATTTTAACATATTTTATCATAAATCAACAAAATTCAGCACGCAGAATAGGCGCATATAGTGTTAATTTAGGACGTCATTACATGACCTAACCTAAAAAAATATATAAAAAGTAAAAAAAGTTTTTTGATTTTGACCATAACCGTTTTGTTATGACCATTCAGAGAAGAGATTTATTTATGTTTTTCAAAGCGAAAACCGTACACCGGATTGAAAAATTTCTTTAGAAATGATTGGAGATTGTAAGAATAATTTTTATTTTAACAGTGGCGTGCCATCAACGTCTGCCAAAATAGACAGGTAAAATTCTGTACGCCCGTCACTGGTGTATTTAAAAAAAAATGTGGTACACTAAATGATGTCTATTACTGCATAGTACATGTGTGAGAAATTTATTAAAACACACCATTTCACAACGGGAGCGAGTAAAAAACATGTCAGTGTGCCCCTGAATTCTGGGTAAAAAGGGGCAACATAGCTACTTTTTATTTTTGCAATAAGCAAAGGGGCTGGAGGGGTGTCCAAAAATTCACAACTTCCAAGAACATGACAAAAGGCTGTGAAAAACCTGTTTGCTGTTATTATAACCGAGATACCCCTTAAAACCATGGAAAAACGGACACACTGTATACGTCGAAGTTTTTATTCGTCGTCGCAAGAATCGAGCCGTGCCGCCATTAAAAACCCTCCGACCACGACAGTGC